AAGTGAAGAATTGAAAACATGTTGAATTAGTCTCCAAGTGGGAGATTGTTGAGATTGTGGAGCCAAATTTAATCCAAATTAGAGTTGGATTAGGACATGAGTTTTCCTAATTTGTGTTTAAGTAGAATTGTTTTCTTTTAGGAATACAATTAGGAATATGATTATAATTGTATTAAGAATTAAAATATAATTCCTATTAGGATATGGGATTTGAGTCCTATAGGAATAGTGTCATATGTATTACCTATAAAAAGAGGTTAAGTGTCAGAGTTAGACGACATCACAAATTGAATAGAAGGCAAAGCCACAATTAGAGAGTTAGAGCCAATTTGTGAGGCTTGTGAGAGATTCTTGTAATTTCTTTTTTCTTCTTCTTCATAGTAAAATTCCGCAACAACAAAGTGTACATAGCTCTCATACAAAGAGTGAGCCACTATAAATCTTGTGTTTGAGTGTGTGGTTATTTGTTTGTCCTTTGTTCGTATTATTTTCGCTTTCAGGGATTTAGGATTTACTAGTATCCAATTAAATCCCGACCGCCCTTTCACAGTTTAAGTTATAATGCTTGAATTCGAAAAATTGGAATAATATTTGGTTTTTTCCAAAACTAAGGGAAGAATTCACGATAGATTGGGCATCAAAATGTCATATGACCAATATTTAAAAGAACATAACATTGGAATAAAGGTTTTCCAAAACTTTCGAGGTTTATTGCCAAATATGGAAGACAATTCTCTAAAAATAGCAACAGTACTTAGTGATGAAGAAAGTTATAACATAATTAAATACTAAATGGTGCAACAAATTTATCAAAGGTTGCTTATTGATTAGATTAGAAAGAACAATGATCCCTCACTTCTCCTTCTCAATCTCTGTGGTAATTGCATTGCTCGTCGGGCGTTGATTTGCAGATTTTCAGGGTCTTAGATCTTATTATCTCTTTTATAATTCTTTTTATATGTTATTAAATTTTATATCAAAAGAGGATCCTAATTCTTTTTTGTTTTTTTCTTTCCTTTTCGTTGATACATATTCATCTGCCTGAGCCTAAATTCAGATACTCAGGACCACTGGGGCCTAGCAACTGGGCACAATTGAATCCAGCATATTCGAATTGCCCATTGGGCAAACTTCAGTCTCCAGTGAACATTAAAAGAAACGAAAACAGTCTTCAACAAAGAATTGGAACCCATATACTACAATTGTTCCACTTCTGCAAAGGCTTCACTCGTTAATCACGGTTTCTCTATTGGGGTTTGTTCTAAAACTTTCCACAAATATTTTGCTGTGCATGGCTGATCTCCAAATTTTGACGGTAATGTTGAGTCGATAACATTATCATATTAGTTATCAATCAAGCATTTTATAGTACCATATAAGATTGTGTTACAAAATGTTATATAGTTTTATTAATTACCACTAATTAAATCCAGCCTCGCACACTGAAAAACGATGCGAGTCTAGATCTGGCCTCGAGGCTGCTGAAAGAAAAAAAAATGAGGGGATAATAAAGTAAAAAAAGATTATGGTTTAGTTAGAAAGTTGAGAAGTCTGAATTGCCTTGAATATGTCAATTATACCTTAATATATATTAGCTTTAACCGAGAAAACTAACAGATTTGGAGCTAAGGTTGCATTTCCGGCAATAACATGAGTTTTCTGTGTAATTACCCTTAGATTGAATTAGGAAAGGAGCAATAAATGATATTTAAAAAAAAATACTGGGTATTGATAATGGTCTTTAAAAACCTCATATTACATTATATTGTTGATGAAAAAGAAGAACAATATGTTCTACTGTTTAATTAACGTTGTGTGGCTAAGTAATTGTATTGGATGCAGTTAGGATATGAAGAGAAAATTGGAGGTTTTGTGCAGAAAGGTAAGAAATACAACTTCAAGCATATGCACTGGCTTTGTCCCTCCGATCACCAAACCGATGGTGTCTTGTATGTTCTCCCTCTCTTTGTATCTCCAAATTAATTGATGCAAATTATTCCTTAAAAAATTATATATGTTATAACTAAATTTGAAGGCCAATGCTTTACAAATATGGTAAACCTGATCCACTTATCAAAATGGTATTTATAAATCTTCAAATACCTTTCAAAGAGTTAAACAACCATTTAATCTAGAAATTTAAGCTATTAGCTAACGATCCAATATTATTGTTCAAGTCTTTCACATGAAACATTAATTTAATTAAGATCTACTTGTAATACTTATAGATTTATTTTATTTACCCACTTTTAGTTTGATTAATATTAAACGTACCCACAAATCAAAAAGTATTACTGTATCCTAGAGGGTTTTACATGAGATTTTTTATGTTCACAAGAGGTAAATAATATAAACTTTTTATAAATGTGGTTGCTTTGATAATAAGCAATCTTAAATGATAAAACAGTAACATTTGTTAAACACTTTGATAGAGAAATATTAATTATAAAAAATTATTTAATTGATGTGGGTGCTTTGATACAAGAAGGGTACCGTATAATAATTGTTAGGAAATATAATATACAAACGTGATAGATAATGGATGAAAAACAATTGATAAAATTCATTAAAACTATATTAATTTTGTATTATTATCTTGGCGTCATAGTGTAATTTTGTAATATATATATCTTAATTAAAAACATTATCATATGGTAATGGTTTGGTAAATGTAGATAGAGGGACACTTGTATGAAATGCCTAAGACGAAGACGGATAAAATGCAATTGGACAGTTGGGTACAAAGTTGGTAAAACGAACTATACACAGATTGAGCAAACAACATGTTCCCATCAGACCTGAGTTGGTATCTTTAATTGCGTTTATTCCCGATTTCAACCATTAAACTAACACAGTTTATTTTATTTTAACGTGTTAGGTCACGCAAATACTATAGATACATGGGCTCTTATACTACTCCTCCATGCACCGAGGATGTCATTTGGACTCTCTTTGCCAAGGTATTCATTTCATACATTCAATCTATTTCTATCTACATTTATTTTTAACATCTAAATCAATTTAATCCAACCAATATGAATTCAAATATAAGAAAACATGTATCTAGGTAGATTATTTGATTCTCTAAGATTGGAATATTTTTGCTAAACCCTATAACACTAACACAAGATTCACTAACATTAGGGGCAACTACGAAAATCATGACCTATTCTTACCCATAAAATGTGTCGCACAAGGTGACCAACGCGTCAGGCCAACCCCTTGGGCTTGTCATTAGTAATCAATTGCGATTTCAAAAATGTCTCGTCAATCCATCTCTTTAGGCTAATTGCCCTTAAACATATAGTTTTCCAAAAGCAAATGAACTTTAGGATATCATTCACATACTTATGATATTGGAACCCTTATTCCAATGATATGCAATGAAGAAATATATTTTTCTATGTGAAAGTAGCGTAAAAAAAGTTCTTGGGCATTGCAAGAAAGGTCTTTTCCAATGTATCTCCGCGTCGTTGTAAACTTAAACAAAGTAGAAATTTTGTTCCAATGAAAATTTGAGCATCGCAAAATGTCTAATTAGGTTTTTTTTTTTTTTTTAATATATATGGTTATATATATAAATTTGAACTTCAGCTTCAAGAATTTAATCTTCAACTCTCACTCACTTAATCTTCAATAAATTTCTGTCAAACACAAAAAAAAATAAAAAAAAAAAATTCTTATGTTAATAGTATATCAAAATTAAAGAAATATACATACAAAAATAAAATAAAGTAGATTGTAACCAAATAAGATGCACAAAATAAAAAATATAATTAATAGAATTTTAGAGTGTTAGAAATAATCTAAGAAAACAAAGAGAGAGAAAGTGTTAGAACTAATGCAAGTAGGGGCAGAGGCAGGATTTTACTTCGGGGTAAGCGAAACATATAATTTTAAGTTTAATGAACATAAATTTAACCTTTTTTTTTTTGGGTGCAAAAGGAAAAATGCTTTGCTTATTTGAAATCTAGCTTACTTAAAATTCAGCCCTATAATAATATTCATTTTTCAATTTAGTTCAGTAGATACAATATGATCTTGTGATCAACATGTAAAAAGTTGATAACAAAATATCATACATATTTGTTTTGTTTAAAAATAAACTGAATTTTATATATAAGTTTAACTATCAAAGAAAGCAAGCATATTTGGAGAAAATAATAGGTTTTAAAATTATGCTATAAAATACAAAAATTGAGAGAGAAGAGAAACAAAGAAAATAAAAATAAAAGAATAATGAATGAACGGTAAAATATAGGGGTATAACAATAAGCCGAGCCGAGCTTTAGCTATTCGAGCTCAGTTTGATTGCTACAGTATCAAACTCAAGCTTTGGCTAAGCTTGCATATATTGAGCTCAATACTTGTGCGGGAAAAAACAACTTTCGTATGGTATTCGAGGGTTTAAATATAAGCTCCTTTGGTACTAAATCAAGAAGTGATGAAGAAAATTTCTCCTACAATATAGGTTAACAGTAGAGTCTACATGAAATGTTCACTACTTGTGACAAGCCCTACGTCAATTGATGTAAACAACTCTTTAATTAACATTCATCCCCTTGGGCATTTATTAAATTGATTTTTATATACATTCAACCATTTATTTTTGTCCATCAATTGGTAAAAAAAATTTTATATCTAATATATTCTTGTGTGAATAGAAAAAACATAAATAATAGTGTAATCCTAAATACAATGTGCAGGCAAGATCCATGTCCAAGGCGTAGTTAGAGGCTTTGAAAGCTCCATTAGCGATGAATTCAAGAGAAACCCAAGGTCCGTGCAACCACTCAATGGTAGAAGAATTGGATTCTATGATGAGCCACGTCTTGATGAGTTAAATCAGTTGAAATTTAATAACAAAAACCTGTGAAATTTTGACATTCCCAAAATCCTCCAAGTATTAATGAACCGTTAATAAGTCGTTAGAATTTATACTATTATGAGTTAATGAACTTTTTTTTTTTTTTTTTTTTGAAATCAAATGAGTTTTATATTCATTCAATAGGATCGACTAAGGGTCCAATACAATTTGGAACATCTTCAAGCTCAACCAATACATCATCAATGGTTAGAGCATCTTTAGCTAGAGTATGAGCAATCACATTGGATGCTCTTTTAACATGATGAACCGAAAAAGTTTGAAAATTCCTAGAAATCGCCTTAGTATCCATAGAGATAAGACCAGCTTGGCCCCAATTCTCTTCATCCCTAAGGAGATCATTGACTACTTGAAGTGTGTCCCATTCCAGGATAATTTGGTTGATCCCAATATATGCTGCTAGAATGACTGCTTGAAGAGCTGCGAAAGACTCAGCCAAATGTGCATCTGGGAACATGGTTTTCTTCTTCTCATAGTTGCCATAAACCTGCCTTGCCAGTCCCGAATTGCAATTCCAACCCCAATTGTGCAGTCTTCTTTTATCACACTTGCATCCCAGTTTATCTTGAAGATACCTTCAGGTGGTGGCTGCCATCTTGGTGAGCTGGGATCAGGAATCTGAGGATAAGCATTAGGAGAGGTCCTCGTTTGATGCAAGGATTTTAACATGTCTAGTTCTTGAGTTGCATGGTGAATGGTCTGGGATGGAGTAGAAAAATGATGTTTGAAAGTAAACTCATTCCTCCTTTGCCAGATTTTTGAGACCACCACTCCAAATTCAGCTAAATGTTTTTCCTCTAATTTGGACAGAAAAACCATAACGAGCTCTCTGAAGTCGGTGAAATTGTTATTCATCTTTTGGAAGGTTAGAGAGCAGCTTGACCAAATATCCTTGGCAGCAGCGCAACCCCATAATGCATGCAAGACATCTTCTTCTGAACATTTATTGATTTATCCTTATGTCATTCATTTTAACATATAATTCTTGACAGTTGTAGGATTTATATTATTTCAAAAACTTTCTTTGAATATTTAGAGTGTTAGAAATAATCTAAGAAAAACAATAGAGAAGAGAAAGTGTTAGAACTAATGCAAGTAGGGGCAGAGGCAGGATTTTACTTCTGGGGTAAGCGAAACATATAATAATTTAAGTTTAATGAACATAAATTTAACCTTCTTTTTTTTTTTTTTTTGGGTGCAAAAGGAAAAATGCTTTGCTTATTTGAAATCTAGCTTACTTAAAATTCAGCCCTACAATAATATTCATTTTTCAATTTAGTTCAGTAGATACAAATATGATCTTGTGATCAACATGTAAAAAGTTGTATAACAAAATATCATACATTATTGTTTTGTTTAAAAATAAACTGAATTTTATATATAAGTTTTAACTATCAAAGAAAGCAAGCATATTTGGAGAAAATAATAGGTTTTAAAATTATGCTATAAAATACAAAAATTGAGAGAGAAGAGAAACAAAGAAAATAAAAATAAAAGAATAATGAATGAACGGTAAAATATAGGGGTATAAACAAGTCAAGCCGAGCCGAGCTTTAGGCTATTCGAGCTCAGTTTGATTGCTACAGTATCAAACTCAAGCTTTGGCTAAGCTTGACATATATTGAGCTCAATACTTTGTGCGGGAAAAACAACTTTCGTATGGGTTATTCGAGGGTTTAATCAATACAGCTCCTTTGGTACTTAAATCAAAGAAGTGATGAAGAAAATTTTCTCCTACAATATAGGTTAACAGTAGAGATCTACATGAAAAATGTTCACTACTTGTGACAAGCCTCACGTCAATTGATGTATAACAACTCTTTAATTAACATTCATCCACCTTGGGCATTTATTAAATTGATTTTTTATATACATTCAACCATTTATTTTTCGTCGCATCAATTGATAAAAAAAATGTTTTTATATCTAATATTATTCTTGTGTGAATAGAAAAAACATAAATAAATAGTTTGATATCCTTAAATACAATGTGCAGGCAAGATCAATGTCCAAGGCGTAGTTAGAGGCTTTGAAAGCTCCATTGAGCGATGAATTCAAGAGAAACCGAAGGTCCGTGCAACCACTCAATGGTAGAAGAATTGGATTCTATGATGAGCCACGTCTTGATGAGTTATAATCAGTTGAAATTTAATAACAAAAACCTTTGAAATTTTTGAAATTACAAAAATCCTCCAAGTATTAATGAACCGTTAATAAGTCATCAGAATGTATACTATTATGAGCTAATGAACATTTATTTATTTATCCTTCTGTCATTCATTTTAACATATAATTCTTGACAGTTGTAGGATTTATATTATTTCAAAAACTTTGGGGGATTAATATTATTAACTTTAAAAAAAATAAGAAATATATATTTTTTATTTCTTATTTTTTAGGACTTTGTAAAAAACTGTATTTCTAACGTAGGAATGTAATTTTTTAAATATGAATCACAACTTCAAATGTTATACGATTTCAATTAACGGAGTTATGATTTTTGAGAATCTATTTAATTGGGTTAACCTATTGGCCAAAAGAGCTTATTTAAATCTATAAGCACTAATGAAATTTTTTTTTTTTTTTTAAATTATCGCCTAACTGAGTCATTGAATTTGGACGAGTCAGGTTTTAGAACATTGATTGCCACGATCTAGCCAAGATCGTGGCGACCAGCGGTAATTCTGGCCGACAGTTATTTTAAAAATTATATTCTTTTTCGTAAAAAAAAAAAAAAATTGGTTTATTTTATATATTTGGATAAATTTTGTATTTCATTTATTTTAAAGTTATATAAAAATATTTAATAGTGTTATGCCTGAAAAATATAAGGGCTGACGTAAGGCCCAGTCAGTGTGCAAAAGTCAAAACATAGGTACACCCGCAGCCTGCTTCTGTCAAAATAGTGGGTGCGCGCCAGACCAGCCAGAAGCTGTGGTGATCCCACGTGTCCAATCCCTGCGTCAAATCGCACAAATCACTCTAGAAGGTGGGCAATGTGACATAAAGAAGGATTTGTACGGATAATCCCACCAACTCACAGATTCAGTAATCATTGCCTCAATGTATCCCACTATAAATAGAGAGCTTCTCTCCCGTTTGTGGGATTGGCTCATTTTTACTCTTGATTAGCTACTCTCTTTCTATAATTTATAGCATTCACTCGCTTGTACTATCATTTGTAAGTCAGTCAGCTAATGCGACCTAACCCCTATCATTAATAAAATAACAGTGGACGTAGGACTTGCTTCCTTAGCATCCGAACCACTTTAAAAAAGCTTTTCTCATTGTATTTATTCTCTTTTTCTTGCATTCACATGTGTCTTCTGAGCTAGCTCAGCATTTCACACGTGCGTTTCGCTGGTGTAAAAATCACGCATCAACAGTTTGGCGTTAGAAGGAGGGCCTGATTTAGTGTTCATCGTTCATCAGGAGAATCTCTAACTTACCGGTCCTACAACAGCAAGTGGCCCGCCAACCTGAACTTGAGCGAACCAACCAGGGTGCTGAGGGGATCCCCCAAGTCTAGGGGGACACCTCTTCCAAAATACCTTTAGTTCCGCAAAATGCCGCGGGGGATATCCCATCAAGTTCACAACTTGACCCGGCCATTAGAAGCTACCTGGAGAGGTTCGACAATACTCTCCAGACGGTCAACCGAAGGTTGGACCGTTTGGACCAAGTGTAACAAATCCCACATTGAAAGCGTATTGGGGAGGTCTTGGGCTTATAAATGGGAGGAGTCCCTCCACCTAATAGGTTAGCCTTTTGGGTGTGAAACTCCCATCCCATGACAAGTGGTATCAAAGCAGACCCAATCCGTCTTTCGATGTCCCGCCAAGCGTCCACGCAGGGGCGTCCACGTATGATTGTGGGTCCACACGAGAGTGAGGTGGATGGGCAAGCAGGGGGCCCCACCTGTGACGAGGGCGTCACAAGATTGGGTGGGGGAGAATGTAACAAATCCCACATTGAAAGCATATTGGAGAGGTCTTGGGCTTATAAATGGGAGGAGTCCCTCCACCTAATAGGTTAGCCTTTTGGGTGTGAAACTTCCAGCCCGTGACACAAGGCATGCCAACCAAATCAGATGGGGCGGTGCAACCGCCAAAAACGCCTGCAGGTCATGCGAAAGCGCGGCAAAGGGAAATAGCCCGTGCCGCGAGCACTGCAGCGCGTAGACGAAAGGGTAAGCAAGTGGCAAAAAAGGGGCCTACGGCTCAATAGGGCCAGCGAACTCCGACCGTGTCCCGAACAGAATACCAGTCTCGTTGAGACTCGGTGAAAAGACGTAGCCCGAGCTGTCCCATGCCATGTCGCAAGTACACCCCATAAAAGTGTTAGGCGGGGCGATTCCTATCACCGCCAGCAAGACGATCCTGATCGTCACCATGCGAGAGGGTCCCACACTTCACGAGGCGGTTCTTACCACCGCGAAGGTCGTGAAAATACCCTGCACCATTCATCGTCATCACACAGCTCTAGCCAGCGTGTGTCGAGATTGGTCGGAACCGCCGGCCGAGGCGAAGAGGAACCCGACCTCTGGACTTTCCTCAACCGTAATCACGAGGGTCGAACTCTCATGGGTGAAAGCAATCCCCAAGTGGCTCCATTGCTACAAATTGAGGAGTTGCAGCAAGCTCTAGACCGACTAAGAGCTCAGCAAAATGAGCAAGGGCAGGTCGCGTCTACGTCCCCCTTCCTTCCCAAAGTGCTAGCCGCTCCACTCCCATCAAGATTCAGGATGCCCGACATACGGGCGTTTGATGGAAATTCTAATCCGCAGGATCATTTATATGAATTTAACGACCTGATTGAAAGAATCAGCATGCATGAAGAGTGGTGGAGATGGAGAATGAAAGCATGAAAGCATGGATTCTAAAACCGGTTTTCAAACAAAGCTTGGAAAAGAGATTATACCTACTCCTTTGCTTTGGATTGATGAAGATTAGCTTCAAAAAGATGAAACCTCCACACTTTAACACCACCTTGAGAGATTAGAGAGTGGCCTTGGGTTTGAGAGAGAGTTTTGGTTTGTGTTTTTGTGAACTAGTCAAGAATGAACAAAAATGCAACCTTTTGCACTTATATATACTTGGGCAATATTGCAATTATTTATTTTTCACTTCCAAGCCCAATAAAATCTTATTTTATAAAGGGACCCCACGAATTTAATATGCTACCCTTTGAATAATCAATATTATTCAAGGGCCCATGTAAACTAAACTAGTTTACATTAACAACCCAAAAATTTACCCCTTTTTACCCTTTAACTATTAAAAGGTTATTTTTGTTCATCTCATTAATCTTAACACTTTAAGATATAATAATTAAATATAATTAATTATTGCTTGACCATTTTAACCCTTAAAATGTCACAAATGATTTCTATGTAACTATTACTATAGAAATCCCGTTATTACCCTCGGAAGGTGCTAGCCCTCTTCGGATAATCATTTCTCTCTCTCATCCTTCTCTAACTTCTCAAGGCTATTGGTGTGACCATGTAGGTCCACCGTGGATTAGCCGTGAGCCGGTTCTGGATGAATCCGAAAACCTGTCCGGAGGCCCAACGACTATGGTAAACATCTAGCAATGTGCCATAGTCCCTAAACCACGATGAAGAAATACTTCATCGAACCCATTTCAGATCATACGTACCATGCAGGTAAAGTCCCTCCATTGAGATATCCTAATCGAGTATGGATTCATGGAACGTCAAAATCCTAAACTCGATCTTCTACCGAATTGTCGATCAATATGTCCGGAACTTGTCATCACAAACTTACTTTTGTATGACTAATAATAGACTCTGGCCAGAGATTCAGTTTTCCGACATTTATCGATGTTCGTCT